TATTGATCGATGAGGAGGTAAACTTGCTAATCTTCTGGAAATACTTCCGAAAATTCTCTTACAATCGGGATATCCTGCATCTTATTCTTTTCTTTCTCTAAATCAGTTGCGTAAGCAAGAAAACTAATACATCCTTTTTGCACATACTTTCGAGCTTTTAAAACAGAGATAAGGCTGGAATAACGATCCCGTCTGTCACCGTAGATTATAACCGGTCCCTTCCCCGATAAATCTATATGAATCATCTTTTCATTGCAGACTACATTAGCTTGATTTTTAGCCAACTGGTCCATGCCCACAATTATATCAAACTCTCTTAATGGTATAGGAACTAACTGTATGGGTACCTCACACCCTTCTACGTTTATGAAACAATCATTAAAAACTTTCTTAATCGACTCTTCACTATCATTTGTTGTTTCTACTATCAATACCTCATCTAAAACTTGAGGTTCTAAATGCGCGCAACCAACAAATGATGGTGATACGAAAGAACGATTTGCACCATAATCAAATAAAACTTTGGCACATACTGAATTAACGAAGAATGTACCTGTCACCACTTGATGTTCTTCAGCCTCGCATCTCGTCATCTGAAAAGCTCGCCCTCTCGTTATTGCCTCACCACGTCTTAGTTCCCCACGACTGCTAGGGACATTACGATTAACCATTAGCCTGCGACTGGGTGGAGCATAGCCAGATCCTCGGCCCCCAGAATAACCAGATCCTCGTCCCCCAACAAAACCAGATCCCCGTCCCTTAGCTTGCGGGCAATCAACATTTACATGTTGAGAAGAATTGCACGTAAAGCATCTTTGTACCATTCGACCATCTTTGGCTATATGCCTTGATTCTTGACATTTGTAAGATGTTCGTGATTCAGTGTAGTTACCTTAGTGTACTTTATGACATCGTATACATGCTTTATCAACAAACCTTGAGATTGGCCGACTCATATTTTCAGCAAATCTAGGTATACGAAAATCAGTTGCTACTGCTTCTCCTTTTCTTTTATCCCCAACCCTTTCTTGTGGTTGACATCTTGTTCCAAAATTTCTGCAGCATCAACTGCTGCTTGGAATGTAGCCGGGTTCCTGGATATTACATACTTCTGGAGATTAGACTCCAAACCCCAAATATACTTCCTTACTTTACTGCTTTCAGTAGCAATATAAGCTTCAGTAAATCTAGACTGTTCCATAAAAACATCTGTATACTGGCGAACCGTCATATTTCCCTGTTCCAATCGAAGGAAATCGTCCTCTAGCTTTCGAGCAGTAGCTTCAGGACAATATTGAATTTTAAACTTTACCACAAACTTCTCCCACAACTTGATCTTTAAAATATTCGGATCGAAACTTAACAAAATTTCCCACCAATATAACGCACTTGACTGCAACTTGGATACCGCAAACATCACTTTATCTTTTTTTACACTTTTACAGGTCTGTAGACTTGATTCAATTTCTTTAAGCCAACACATGGCTTTAACAGGATCACGTTCTCCGGAAAACTTAGGGGATTTACAGGCAAGAAACATCTTGATATCCCCTCCTTTTTGTATCGACGACGAAGTAAATTGTACGAACGTAGTTGTTACCGGTGTACTGGCTCCGACTTCTCCCTGAAAATCCGGGTTCCTTACTTTTTCCGAATTATTCTGTGCAGAACTTCCCAGCAAATTTACCAGACTTTCCTGAAATTTTCCCCTGCCAACATTTCCTGGGTGAACCACAAGGGTGGTGCTTGATTGGTTTGAGCTTGGCTCCAAAGGTCAAAAGTACTAGGAGATCCCAGGTTCAAATCTAAGGAGGAATAGAAATCTCCTTGCGGCCACGGAGGCTCAAATGCGGTGACTCCGGGCTATCTGCAAAGCAGGTAGTCGCCCTGGGATTAGTCGGCTCGCATAGCGGGTTGGATATCCAGGTTAATAAAAAAAAACATTTACTGGGTAATAAAACCAGGGTCATGAGCACGATCTCTGCCCTTTGCTCTGCCTCGTCTATGACCTGACATAGAACTCTCTTGTACTGATAATTCATGTTCTGTATGGGCTTCTTGTTGAGTATTTCTTCCCCTTCCTTGTCCCCAGCTTCGACTTCGACTTCGACTTCGTGTTTCAATCGTCATAGCATTTTCTAGGTCTACTTCCCTATTTACCATTCCTCTTCCCCGGCCTCTTCCATGGCCAGTAGAAGTTCTTTCAGATCGATTAAGATTATCTGCTATTCTTTCTTAAGACTCGCGTTACTTTAACTTCCTTACTGTCACAATAAACACATATACGGTTAATCACATACCAAAGTATGATAACATGTTTCCCCATAGATCAAGTATTTGTAACTCAAGATTACATTATCTCATGTAATCTAACTCTATCATACTTTTCATCATAATACGTTCAATTATAACACATTCCCAGTGGAACCTATTATCACATACTCCACACTTCTAGTTTAAGTCCAAGTATCAAGATAATACCCAGATCTCTTAAACTAAGGCTCTGATACCAACTGAAACAACCCACCATGCACGAAACAGTACTAATACACAAAATAATATCATACATCTCCACATTCTCCGTACCAATATAATACAAACATTCCAAGGTTATTTACATTTCAAAATAACAGTATGGATTAACAAAAGTTTTATCCGATGATAACACTTTCTTCTAAATATCACTTCCTTATATTTTTCCCTTGCCTTTATCTTGAGATGATGGATGACCTGCAAAACAGTTTAGTACAATGATTAAGGGTTAGACCAAAAGGTCTAGTGAGCGTAATACCCTCTTAAAAATATAACTTACTGCAAAACCCAAGATAATTCAAACCTGAACCTTAATATAAAATTTATATCATGGTTATCTTGCCAATGCATCTATTGCGGTTACACCGCCATTTCATCTATCGCGGTTGCACCGCCATTTCATCTATCGCGGTTGCACCGCCTTTTCATCTATCGCGGTTACACCGTCATTTCATCTATCGCGGTTATATCTAGGTTAATAATTGATCCAACAGGACAACACTTTAACTAGAAAGGAGTTACTGATCAATACTTTAACTTTATCTGGACAATACACTATCCTGAAAGAGTTTACCAAACATACTTTAGCCTTATCCGAACAATACATTATCCGGAAAGGGTTTGTCGGTCATACTTGAGCCTTGTCCGGACAACACCATGTCCAGAGAGTGGTTATCGGACATTCACTTTGTATCCGGACAACTTTGATTGATAAGGGATTCTATCCGGACATGCCTTGATCGGTGAGAGATTTTATCCGGACAAACCTGGATCTGTGAGGGGTTTTATCCTGACAATACGTATTCGGTGAAGGGTCCTTATCGGCTGACCTTGTGTGCGATGAAGTGGCTTAATCGGTCACTGCTTTATCCGATGAGGGACCTCATTGGACAAGCTTTGTCCAATGAATTTTGTTCTTGAGAGGTTTACTTGGGCGATAAAGCAACAATAGCAGTAAATGCAATTTTAATTCATCCAAACAACATATGCTAACATTTTAGCAATATATATACAGTGAAATACAACAACCAGATATAACCAAAGTAATATGGAACTCACCTTTGCCTAAAAAAAACTCAGTTTTGATATGATCTTCACCTTCTGCGTTCTTCAAATATGCCCAGAGAAAAATTCTAAAAGTGGTAAAACTTTTTCTCAGCAAACCCATACTTACTATATATAGTAAGTAGGGATGAGAAAGGTGATGGGGGCGGTGCAGGAGCAGCCACCTCCCCCCATGCATCACACCAAAACCAAATTATAACCAAAGTAATACCATCTATGAGGTAACATAATTCATATGTTAATTCCTCCAAAAACCCTTAACGCCACCTTTTATCCCCGCACTTTCAATTGCCATATAATTTCAAAACCCAACCAACCATATTTTGATGCCGACTATTGCACTGTGCCACTCAACGAATTGCAAGAGTTACAGATGGCTGACGGGCTTTACATGTATACTTATAAAGATCTGCTATTTATGCGACCATGGCTATTAAATGAACATGATTTTGCTAATATTTGAAGCATCAAGCATTGGTCATTCTATGAGATTAAAGTTCAGTTTACATCTCAGAAATAATTACTAAACCCATCCCAAAATAAATGTCCACAATGAAAAAGAGGCACGGTTTTAGAAATGTGTAATTATCACACTTTTTAATAAATAAATGACAATTTTACTCTTACTAACGGGAGTAATGAATTTCTCCATCTCATAATTAAGGGCAAAATTCGGAAGCAGGCAATTACTTTTGAAAATGGACACTTATTTTCGGACAAACTATAGTATGAATGTGGACTCTTATTCTGGGACAAATTAAAATAGGAACGTAGACACTTGGGGGGTGTTTGGTTTGCATAATGTTTTCTGAAGGAATGGAATCCGTCGAAGGAATTGGAATCTGAAAGGAATTTGAATGGAAAGTTATCAGGTTTGACAAAGTGTTTGGTTGACAAGAAATGGAATGTAATATGTCAAATGAATTGGAATCTGTTTGTTTAGAAGCATACAAGTTCTGTAATACGGCTCTCTGTGGGTATCTGGTAACCATATATGTATCCTTGAAAATGGAATTTTTTTTAATTTAATGTCGAAGTAAAGAACCATGGCATAGGTAAATTAACGCCCCAAATGGTGAAAGAATCATCATATGCTCGTTTACAGAATGCAGCTTGTGAATTGGAAAGAAATAATGAGAAATGACCAGACTACCCTTTCTTTTGAATTTGTTTTTTTCCTTAAATTATAAATAATAATAAAATGAATATTTAATGTGAAAAAAATATGTAAATTACCATTTGTGATATCAAGAGTAAATTACAGGGGGAAGTATATGATGGTCTCCTTTCAAATTTTTGGCTAAATAGAGCTGCCAAGATTTCTGTATATGATTCTTTTGGCTCTTTTGCACATTGATTTTCCCCTTCTGCCGTATGAGGTATATTTTAACATAACATTGCAGGAATTTTACACTTTGCATTAGAGGGCAATGCGTTGGATGCTATTGCTTTGACAGAACATGTTTCACCTGACCTACTTGAAAATAACAAGGACCTGCTTTTTGATCTTTTGAGCCTTCACTTTGTTGAACTTATCTGCTCAAGGAAATGGTGAGCATCGGTAATATTGAATAGTTTATTCGAGCTTTACATATTCTTTTATTTAATATACATATTCCGTGGCAGCACAGAAGCTCTTGAATTCGCTCAGGCCAAGTTGACCCCTTTCGGGAAGGTGCAAAAATACGTTGAGAAACTTGAAGTATGTTTTTTCTTGGGAGAAAATTGTTTCTTTTAAGTTTCTACTCCCTCCGTCACAAATTAATTGTCCATATTTCTATTTTAGTTTATCCCAAAATAAGTGTCCACTTTCAAAAGTGTTTGCTTTCCAGTTCTACCCTTAATTATGAGTTGGAGAATTCATTACTCTCTATTATCAAGAGTAAAATTGTCATTTTGTTGATTAAAAGTGTAATAATTATACATTGTGGACATTTATTTTGGGCCGGAGAGGGTATTATATTAATTTTATAGGAGTTTGATTGATGAACAACTTTCTTTCAAGCAGGATTTTATGGCCCTACTAGCGTACGAGGAACCAGAAAAATCACCAATGTTTCATCTACTTAGCTTTGAGTATCGACAACATGTTGCAGATAGCTTGAACAGAGCAATTCTGGGTGTGTATTGTTTAAAAATCCCTCGCTTTTAACATCTTACGTATGTAACTGTTTTATATTATATTTTTCTTTTGTCCATAAGACTTGTTTTATAGTGAATCATTAGTTAGGTTTTCAGAACCCTAAGTTAGACCAGGGTTGTAGTTTCCATACCTTGGCTACGTTTTTCATGTACTTGCGTCTATTTACATATTTCTCACTAGCCAAGGGTCTTCTCGGAAACAACCATTCTACATTTTAGGGTAGAGGTCAGGTCTGCAAACATCTTACCCCTCCCCCCGTGCCAGGGACCCCAGGTGGAATATACTGTGATTATTTGGTTTAGTTTTGTTTATTTGTCGTTTTATGTCTCGGCTAAAAGATTTTCATGTATTACTTTCAGCACATGCAAACATGCCAAGTTATTCAGCATTAGAAAAGCTAATTCGGCAGGCAACTGTAGTTAGACAATGCTTGAGCGAAGAACTCGGAAAGGTAAAATGGAAACGGTTGCTTTGTTTATTTTTCATTCACATATGAATGCAAATAAGGTTTTTTAGTTTGTGGTTTAGTGTCTCTGTCTTTGATCATCCAATAGTAGGACTATTTTGTTACTTTTAGCTTTCTTCTTGTCCCAAATACATGTTCACGATGAAGAGGACACGGTTATAAAAATGTGTAATTATTTCAGTTCTGAATAACTAAATGACATTTTTACCCTTAACAATAGGAGTAATGAACACTTATTTTGGGATAAACTAAACAGAATTTCCTAATTGGTAATTTATTTTACAGGACGTGCAATCAGCATTCTCGTTAAAGGAATTCCTGAAGAGCTAGATGTGCAACATTCGTTTGTTTAAATTTTCGGTTTGATTTATGTATTATGGGTTTGGTATGTTGTAGTAGGCGTTCATTCTCAAACGGGTTGCGGTTTTTAGCCGAGATCTCTTCCTAACCCAACTCAACTCTCTTGGCTCTGTGCCTGTATAAAAACCCTTGTAGTTTTGATCATGTATTTGGAAGAATACTTTCACCGATACTTCAAATGTAAAGATTCATTTGTAAAACACACTCTCTCTTTGATTTTTTGCCTTCAGAAGTGTTCGGTCCACGAGTATCAAGAACGGGCCTGAAGAAAATAGATGGTGCTAACAGGATTCTATGTTGTCAATGGCGCGAAGAAACAGATGCAGGTGCTTATATGAACGAAAAACTGTTTCAAACACCCATTGGAGTGATATTATTATATGTTCTAATACCGAGTATTGTGTTTTAAGGTCGTAAGAACAGGTTTTGTGGTGCTTTTTGGTAACCGTACTTGTTTGGGCCGACTTGTGTGCATTAGACTAATAATCCTATGAAACCTTAAAGATGGCAGTAGGAAAATCTCTAAATATTATGGTGTTTCAATATTTAGGTAGTGTTTGGTACGTAGACATCATTACACTGGACATGATTGGTGGTGGTGTGGTGGTGGTGTGGTGGTGGTGATGATCATTAAAATCAAATACCATATTAAGACTATATTAAATGAGGATCTATTTGTAATTTTTTAGTTTCTATCTGTGACAATCCTGCTTTTTTTGGGATTTCAGGTCAGTACCTTAATTCGGGACCATTATTGAAAACTAAGTCTTTCTAGGATTTAGACCCGAGGATCAGAGATCATCTTGCTTATCTCCCAAGATTAGTTGTTAGATCATGTTTCAGCAGGTAGCTAACCAAGTTGGTTTATGCAATGCCAAATAGTCTTGAAATGTTTCGCATAAAATAAAGACGATATTTAAATTCCAAAGTTCCAATTTCTTTTATATATAGTTGCCAATTAATTTAAAGAGTGGTGTCTTCTTTAAAATCTTTTGTCTATTTATTTTGTTTAGGTAAATTAGTGGGGTTTTATTATTTAGAAAAATAAAAACATTTTGGGCTTGGGTCTTTAGAGGCCAGCTCATTCCTTCTCAAGAAGCCCTCATATAAATACCCCTCCCCTTTTGAAAATTCTTCATTCTCCAAAACTTCAGCTATTCCGTTTTCTCTCTCTCTCTACTCCATCACCTTCCAAAAGGTTCTAATCTCCTTGCAAAACTCAAGGACTCTTGCTGTTCGTGAGACTTGTTCGTGTCATTCTGTCAAGAAAATGTATGTTTTAAAGTTGTCCTATTTTCTTTTAGATGTCCGAAAGTCTTTATCCTTCTTTCTACTTGATTCTTTAAGTAAAATTTTGGGATTTGAAGAGGAGAGATTATTCATCCAAGACCTGCATGTGTCTTCGTTGGGATAATAATCTATGACCCATGTTCTTTAATCTCTAAGAAAGAAGGAGAGAATCCTTGCATGTGAAAGTCCGATCATAATCTCGGATGATAGAATCTTGCATGCATCTTTAAATCAGTTTTCTCATMTTGTAAACTCGCTGGAATCGGAATTTTATTTGTTTTATTCTTCTGGAATTTCTTTGAAGATGATGTTTTGTGTAGTTTTGATTCTCGAAAATGTTGAGCTTGAGACCCCTCCCCATCATTGCTACCATTCTTGGGCATGCAACCGGTTTTGGGAGGCGTGCGACTCAATGTTGTAGAATTTTTGAAAAGAGTGTTAAACCCACTCAAAATCTCTTGATTTTAATATTTGGCGGCTGTCATCATTATTTTGGGATGACATTTAATGATGTCATTATTAGGATTTTGGAAGGTTCCTTTTTATTTAATAATAAAATATCGGCCTTATTTTATGAAAATGTTTGATGGCTTTGCATTGGGAACAACTTTGTTCTACCTTAGGCAAGAAACCGTTGAGTAATGTAACGCTGATTAGTCTATCAGGAAGTTCAAGCAAGTTTAGGAAGCCTCTAAAGGAAGCATTCGGATATTCGTCAAACTTGTGAGTTCTCACGACCCCACTTTTACTGGTTTTATATATTTTATGGGGGAAAAACATGAGATTGAGCAAACTTTGCATGTTTATGTTATATGAAATTTTGGGACTAAGGAACTGCTTAGTCAAGCTCTGTTGAAACCTCTGGACTAGGGATGGTAAAAAAAACCGAAACCGACGGTGAAAACCGAAAACCGAAATTTTTGGGCCAGGTTCGGGGACATTTTATCGGGGACGGGACGGGGATCGGGGACGAATTCGGGGATTTTAACGGGGACGGGGACGGAGGCGGGGACGGTGATCACCGGCCCGGCCCGGCCCGATATGTATATATATATATATATATATATTTATTTATTTATTTTAATTTATATACATATATATATAATATATATATATATATATATATATATATAACATCTTTAAAAAAAGTAACATTAAAATTTTAAAAAAAATTATCCACTTTACCTCAACAACCCAAATAAAGCTCACGAAAAGTCTAGTTTATTTGTCAAAAACCATGATTTTAGTTGTATGATGTTCGAATTTTTGTTTAGTTTTATATTGTAATCTAATGCATTGTTTGTAATTGGTTCAATTATGTTTGAGACATTTAAACTTAGATCTTTAAAAA